GCTCAACCCTCGAGAACATCACTCTTCTTCACTCCTTACCCTTGTTCTCTGTAGACCCTTTTCAGGCAATTTTGGCATATTGTGGTGACCTAGACGCTTTAAATAGTTGTCCTGGCAACCGCATCTTCTTTTATTTTGGATGTCTGTCGCAGTCTGTTTCCTCGCTCTCACTTACGCTGCAGTGTTCTGAACTCTACGCCCAAAGGCGGAAGTCCACTCGACGTCTCAGTTGATGTAGATCGTTGATAACTCGGCGCGCACCATGCACGTTTTCAGCCTTCGTTAGACTTATCTGCTTTATGTAAGCACGCGAGCCGTCAGCGTTAGCTACTTCTGGAAGTGCGGCTTCTTCTGCCTTCATTCAGTCCTGTTGGGAACACATGAGTGTATGCTGAGTCTTTTCGGGACGCTGGAACTCCGGAGTTTCTAGTAATTATTGGGACGCCAGCGCCTTCACCTTGGCGTCTTGCCTTAACTGAACCATCCGTAGAACTCATCCGTTCACGTCATGTTCACTTTTTTTCCATAACGGCATAGAGGACATGTCGCTGGACAAATTCAGTGAAGTCCCACCAGTTGGATTCTACACAAAAAGCACTTCACAAACTTCTATGCATCTTGAACTGAAGCTCACAATCTTAGCGTCTTCAATCCTCGTATGCGTCCTCGCAAAGAGATGATAATCCCCTATACATACATGCAAGGTAGTCTCACGCTTAAAACATTTGCGATACCAACCTCAATGCAAGTATTGCCATACTTTTGTCCGTGATTAATGAAGAGCAAACTTGCGTCGCGGTCAAATAATTGTAAGATAAATCGACCGTAAAGAGGGTTGTGTTGGCGAAAGAATGTACGAAGCAGACTGCTGGATTGACTGCCGTCTGCTTCCCTGATCAAATTGCAAATTTACTCACCACCTCACCATGGAGTGAGCCCCAAGGAAAATCATTATTTAACGCGACCAACGCGAAACAGGCTCTTATCTAGCATCGTTCGGGTAGTCCGTCTGCCTGCGCACTTAGCTAAATCACCTGTTCCTACAACTAGAGAGGTCACTACTGATATAATTGTAATATGTTGCCTTCGATACCAGTTTAGTTGCCAAGAGGCTGCCCGCATCGGAGAACATCTGTCATCTTTACTGCGCCTGTCGACCGAATGTACGAGTTAAGACGGACCCTAAAATAAGAAAAGCCAATGGCCCCATTTGTTTACGCGGCACACAGCACTTTCTATGTTTTCATGCCTTTTTATTATTCGACTGTGCTTTTAAGTGACGCTTTTGACGTACAATATTTTGTTCCAAACTACGGCCTTGATGTTTTCATATTCAGTTTCTGAACTTGCTGTTTATTCATCACTCGTTAGAAAGCAACAATTGATAGGCTGTTGCGGAGTTTTGGTATCGATAAATCTCGCTGTCATTGAAGCGACTTCCGGGTAGCACTCTTACACAGGACCGGCAAGCTGTTATCACCAGCGTCTGTTTAAAAAACGAAAAATGCTGTATGATGGTGAACCTTGGGAGTTTCATTGTTTCGTTTCCCCATCCAGTATATTAATTCCGACTTACAGTCGACACTGGCCTGTGCATGCTTTACGTACTCTGACGAATAGCGACCTAAGTTGCCGGTTGTACACACATTTCAGTATAAGGTGCAGTCGAATGTCCTGTCTTGCTACGCGACAAAGGAAATATTATCTAATCGCGACTTTTGAGGTACAACAGCTCAAAGAGCTATCGACCTACAGAGTAATTAGCACTATTCTTTCAAAATTCCATAATCTGCCAGGTGTTTGTGCCACCTTTTCTCCTTTCTTTTGCTATTTTCGTCTCGAAAGGACACTTCATGTGTACTCCTGTCGCTTGCATTGCAGATAATCGCCCGATACTTGCAATATCTACCAGACAGTGATACACTAGTCGACCTCGTTGTGCGCCTCGGCTTATACAGCCTTGGAATCGAAGTAAGACAACATATTTTTCCTGACGCTACCATTTAGCATTTCGTACGCAAAAAGGATGCCGCTGGCTTGAGGGGTTTGCACTCCAGAGTGCCGTCCTCACGCACCAAAGAAACACAAGAGATTGAAGCCTATCTTAGTCTTCCCGTAAGTTTCAATTTTTTGGGACTAAGTGGCTTTTCAGACCAATCAGTGGAAAGAGAACATACCAAAGGAATAATTGTGCCAAGAAACGTCACGAAATGGCACGTCCCTTTTGCTATCGGGTGATACAATAAAACAGATTTCAGTGACCGCCTTTCCTTCCTGATTTGGGCGTTGGCGATCCTGCCGTTGCGTTTATCACCGTCTGAAAGCCATAAACAGCCGATTTGTTGATGAATTCAGTGGCGATTCCCAGAAGTGAGTGTTCGCTCTGAGAATGTTTTGGTTCAACAGCCGCGTCAGTGGTCCAGACAACCTTGAGACCGAGGGCCACCAAACCCAGGAAACTGGCAAAGAGTAATTTCGCGAGGGTCTGGAACCCGCCGGTGAATTGTCGTTCAAAGAGTCTATGAAGTAAAGAATTGGATCTTTATTAGCAAGAGAGAGATGTTTGATGCTAAAACATGTTTACTGAGAATACAACAGCTGTCAGTTAAGCAAAAAATATTCAAGACACTAAAATTATGCAATCACGTGTATCGTTTTATCAGCACTGAAAGTTGCCACCAAGTTCCTATAATGCCGTCAGGAGTGTAGTTCTTATTACCGCTCATGTTTCGGTTAATAAGTTTTACGTTCATCAGCAGATCTGAGTTTAGCGGTAATAGCAAAAAATGTATGATTGGAAATCATCACCCCAAAAATTAGTCTTTCCGGTGGCCATCAGCGTAACTGACATAATTGAAACAGTAAGATTATTCATCTGTCCGCTAACTTCCACACATCGCAGTTAAATATCCCCCAGGTCTGATAGGCAACTGGATCAGTGCTATAACCGGATTTACGGTAGTAGACCAGACTGCACTGTCGTCCGTTAATCGGGTTGTCTAGTTCTAAGCGAATGCATAGATGGAGAGCAATTGAACCAGACTGATCATCTCTCAAGAAAGCATCTACAAACGGACAATAGAGATTTCATTCCCGCAATTACGGGAGGTAACAATCAGTACGTCAACACAAGGGAATGGTATCGGAGTCGCAACAATTGGCCCTTTGTTCACATGGAGAGGCTTTAAGACTCGGATAATGTCTACATCCTAAACTGCTTAATAAACGGCTTCGCAGCATGAGGCCAGTGCCGAGTTGTTAAAGTAACTATGTTGTACACAAGTTTTTTTAGGTTCAACAGCTTGCGAGAGAGGTGCGCCGCGCTAGGTGACGACATCCGTGTTGCAATTGAGCAATGCTTAAGTTGTAGCCGAAAAATGTTTCACAAGGGTACACGTTTCAAGTATCCTTTGAACCG